GTTGGCGCGCGCGCAGCGGGGCCGAGCCAGAGGGCGCGCGGGGGTCAGGGGCGGGGGCGGGCACTGCGCGCAGGGAGTGCGCGCGCGGAGGGCAGCAGCCTGGAGGGGATCGCGGGCCTAGGAAGGTAGGTATGTGTGTCGCTGGGTGGGCGACATGTGGGCATATATATCTCTCTCTCTCTCTGTGCGTGTGTAGGCATATGTAGGTAGGTAAGTGGGCAGCTATGTACACGTGTGGGTATATATATATATATATGTTGTGTGATATACGTCTATCGGGCACGTCGCCAGGGCGCCGGGCCTCCCCCGCCCCAACCAGGCGACATCGACATATCTATACGGCCGTATCCATCTCCCCGCAGGTGGGCACGGCGATCGCGCGCGGTATACAGCGCCAGCCAGCCGGCCTCCCTGGGCAGCACCCACCCGCCGCGCGGCCTAGGCGACCTGGGGCTGATGCATCACATCGGCGCGCCGGCGCGCGCGCGCAGGGTCACCTTCGTCGTCGCCGCCGGCGCGCGCGGCTCGAGAGGTGGACGGTGGGCCGAGCGGTCGGTCGAGCGAAAGGTTGCCGGCATGCATCCCATCCCACCCATGGAGGCGAGAGCAGGCAGGCGCGCGCGCGGCGGGCCAGACGGTCAGAATGACCAAGTCCCGTTGCAGCCCGGGTAGGGGGCGAATGTGGGTGGCCCACTTTGTATGGGCGGCCGACCCAACGCACGGACCACCACATACAAAATGGGCCCCCCGCCAGCCAGAACCGGACCGGCGAACGTTTGCACGCACGTTTGTGGCCCGGTTGAGGTCGGTGGACTCATGTGGAAGGCGAGAGCCGCGACACCTCTGGTGGCGTGTGAGCCCGCGTCTGACACTTCTTCCCTGCCAGGTCGGCAGCCTCTCTGTGACTGGTGGCGCTCAGGTTCCCCTAGTTGGGGCCTCGCTTCAGGAACGGGGGCAGTCGCCCACCCCAGCCGTGGATTCTTCTCCCGAGCGGCCGTCCGCCTTGTGTGGTCGTGCTTAAAAACGCCCGGGAGGCCCACTTCGCTGGGGTGACCGAAGCCCGGGGGCCTTTTGGTCCCCGGCACCGATGGAGTCTGTGGATCGTTGGCCGCTGGCCAGTCCTGATACCCAGATTCCCGGGGGGAGCCGCCCCGCGGGAGCCGCCGTTCGCCGGCGTGTCCGCGGGGTCCGGACCCCCCACCCGAGGGCCGTATGCCGCAGCCTGCCAGCGCCCGCGAGGGCGATCTGACAGGATCACCTGCGTGCGGACCGGTTCTGAGGGGCTACAGTGGGGGCAATTGGATGGTCGTCTGTCGTCCCCCCGGTGCGCCGGGGGTGCCGCAGCGGCCGGGCGCTCGTTCGCCCCTTCCAGAAACACACCTACATACACTCTGCCCTTCCGGGGGCTTTTGGGCCTCGACGTCTGGCCGACCCGCTCGCGGGACGGTCGGCGCCGGCGCCCATCAAGTATTAGGTATCTGGTTGATCTGCCAGTAGTCATATGCTGTCTCAAAGATTAAGCCATGCATGTCTAAGTATAAGCAATCTATACGGTGAAACTGCGAATGGCTCATTAAATCAGTTATCGTTTATTTGATAGTACCTTACTACATGGATACCTGTGGTAATTCTAGAGCTAATACATGCTAAAAACCTCGACTTCGGAAGGGGTGTATTTATTAGATAAAAAACCAATGCCCTTCGGGGCTCCTTGGTGAATCATAATAACTTAACGAATCGCATGGCCTTGCGCCGGCGATGGTTCATTCAAATTTCTGCCCTATCAACTTTCGATGGTAGGATAGTGGCCTACCATGGTGGCAACGGGTAACGGGGAATTAGGGTTCGATTCCGGAGAGGGAGCCTGAGAAACGGCTACCACATCCAAGGAAGGCAGCAGGCGCGCAAATTACCCAATCCCGATACGGGGAGGTAGTGACAATAAATACTGATACGGGGCTCTTTTGGGTCTCGTAATTGGAATGAGTACAATTTAAATACCTTAACGAGGAACAATTGGAGGGCAAGTCTGGTGCCAGCAGCCGCGGTAATTCCAGCTCCAATAGCGTATATTAAAGTTGTTGCAGTTAAAAAGCTCGTAGTTGAACCTTGGGTCTGGCTGGCCGGTCCGCCTCACCGCGAGTACTGGTCCGGCTGGACCTTTCCTTCTGGGGAACCTCATGGCCTTCACTGGCTGTGGGGGGAACCAGGACTTTTACTGTGAAAAAATTAGAGTGTTCAAAGCAGGCCTTTGCTCGAATACATTAGCATGGAATAATAGAATAGGACGTGCGGTTCTATTTTGTTGGTTTCTAGGACCGCCGTAATGATTAATAGGGATAGTCGGGGGCGTCAGTATTCAGCTGTCAGAGGTGAAATTCTTGGATTTGCTGAAGACTAACTACTGCGAAAGCATTCGCCAAGGATGTTTTCATTAATCAGGGAACGAAAGTTAGGGGATCGAAGACGATCAGATACCGTCGTAGTCTTAACCATAAAC